GTGACAAGGTGTGGAAAGAGATTGCACACAATAAGAGGAAATAACCACCTTAACTAAGGTCTTCTATAGGCCCTCTAAGCCTGTGAGATGAGAAAGAGGAAGAGTTCAGTGTGCTGGATACACACCTTGCTGGAGTTATTTGACCCCAGCAGTCTTTCCTGCCCAGAGCAGGGGGGCTGGACCCAATGATTTCACAAGGTCCCTTCCAGGCCTCAACTTCTGTAAATCTGTGAAATCAATCCACCCATCCACACTAAGTTACCAGGCACCAGTCACTGTAGCATCTCAGTGAGATGCTGAGATATATTAAGATGTTTTCTGGAGGTATTTGACTGATGGGTGAGGCTTTTTCTTGTAGACCTAGGTTGAGAGAAGGGAGAGAGATGCTAGAGTCCTCCTGACTATGCATTTGATCCAATAAGAGATTTCCAGCTCCCTGCCCTTGTTTGTATATTCTTGTGTGGAACAACGTGTTCACCCTGCTAAGTTGAGAGAGGAACAACACGTGTGTGTTAATCAGCACATGGATTCTGAGATTTCTGTCTCCATGCACTACTTGTGGAGTCTTGTTGTTATTCTCAAAGACCACTTCCTCCTTGTCTCTACCCACGTCACTTCACTCTGAGGTTTGGATGAGGGTTTCCCCTCTTTAAGAACCACAGGCTGAATGCTGATACTGATTTTCTGACACTATAATCTACCTGATTCCTGAATATTTATTTTTTTCCTACTTACAACCAATACTAATGACTTCCCTTGCTTTTGATGGGACTTGATCTGCCAGTAATCCGCTTCTTCTGCTAATTATTTGTCTGCTACCCCTGGGGAATTTCCCTCCCTCCTCCGTTTTCACAGTTCTACTTTCGACTCTTTACTTTTGCTGTGTTTGCTTGCTTTCCTCCTCAGATCTGATGAAGAATGTCTTGCATTCAAAAGCTTTTCTGACTTTTTATTCCAACCATGCAGTTGGTTCAATAAAAGATACACCAAAGAAATCCTGGCTTTCCACTAAGAACAAGACAGCACTCTGCGTGATAGCATTTTGGTGAGACTACATGTGATCTGGGAACCACATGCTGAGAATCACAGATATACAACTTACTCAAGTAAGTTTACAAGTAGGGATCTAATACTGTTCCTAGTAGATGAATGATCAACTCACTGCAGTACTGTGTCAATGCGTGACAGAATATGGAAAACCATTGTAACAAATGCTAGTTCTTAATTTGAATTGCTGGTTCTCAGTTCTAGTACTTAATTCCAAGTACTGAATATCTTCATCTAGAAGCACCAAATGGTTCAGTAATAGCCTTTTGTTTAGTAACTGCCTTTTAGAATACAGTTTTAATAGAAACTGCCCTCAGTGAGCAGGCAGGTTTTATGAGATGTTTGGGCTTGTTCCTTGTACTTGCAGGTGAAGGTTTCAAATAGCAACTTTGGGGATTCTTTGCTTTAATTGAATACCTGGAAATGAGGGAACTAGACTGAATGGTTGACTCTAGAAGATTCTTCCTGGTCCTATGTTCCTATGAAATTCACCTCAGTAGAGAGGTTTTAAAAACATCCTCTGCCTCTTGTACGTCCTGAGCTATTTCACCTGCAATAGAACAGCTGCAGCAACTTAATATGATTTTTCCAGGATAGTACTTTTATTAATCTCTCCCTCTATTATTGTGAAATGTATTTCTGTTTTATTTATCATATATCCCCACTTCTTAAAAGATGCACTTTAAGTGAAGCTGCCTTTCATTAAAGATGGAAGGGGAAATCAGGATCTGCAGCTTTCCATTGGGACAAGCCAATATGTTCAGAAGGTTTCCAAGCATGTAATGCTATTGTGTTCAAAAAGTGTTTCTGAAGTGATCGTGTATATGATGGAAATGGGTACGTTCTTCAGCTGATCTACCACTGGAACATTTTCACAATATTTGAAAGATCAGGATAGATGTTAAAAAAAGATTAATTTTTTTCCCATCCTTACAATTCCATTATATAAGGAAAAAATTTTTTTTCAGATAAATTGTTTACAGAATTCTACAGTTGCATTTTCACATGTTAATGTTTGAATCACTGACTCACATGCAGGGTTTCTACCTTTATAATGAACCATGCATGTTATTAGCTGAGCTATTGAAATGAAATTAGCTCTGTACTAATTCATAAGGCTCCTTAGAAGGCTGCTATAAATAACTCCTTATGACACTCTTTTTGTCAAAAGGATTTTTGTTGCTCTTTTACCTGTGCTTACCTGTATTTCAGGCTTTACTATTATGTGGTCTGTTGCACTCTCAAATGTTTGTCTGAATTAAGTGAGAAAGGGTTAATTTTGTTTCTGCTCTTCTGGCCATCAGCCTGGGCACCCAGTGCTCAACTCCCTGTAACACGCAAGTCTTTAGAGGCTGAGATTATTCTGCCTACTAGAGGACTCAGAATGGGTCAACCAGTTACCTATTGCAAAAGCAGTCTTGCAGGACAGTGATTGCTGCAATGGAAGTGAAGAAAATTGTAGGGCCTTTGTAGACTAGCAGAGTTTACAGTAATGATATGTAATGTAAGCATATCAACTGTAAACTGTTGGGGGACAGGGGCAGTCTTGGTGTGTGGGTACAGTGCATACACAGCACAATAAGCTTCTGGTTCATAACTGGAGCTCCTGGCTGCTGCCACGATAGAAATGGGTGACGCATGTCTTACAAAAATGTAAGACAACCTTTGTTCAGTTTTCCACACCCACCTCTACAAAGAATCTTGGATACCTGTGTGCCCCTTCTGGAATAGAAAAGGCAAGAACTACCATATTTAGCTAACGGACTGGTGACAGCTCTAGGTGAAGAAGTAGGTCCAAGCATTAGCATGCTCCCACTACATACAGAAAGGGAGTACTGCCTTGGATCCAAAGCCCAGGTCATTCCTTTAACATAGTCTTAACTGACATAATATGCTCATAATTTTGAGATTCTCAACCAAGGTGCTGTGATGTACTCTTAAGGGTGTTGCACAGTATTAGCATTGTTATCCGTGCAACCTACACATAATTCATAAGGCAACCCCAGAGATTTCAGATAGGAATTCATAATAATCATAATAAAGCATTCTGCCCTGCCTTAATCTTTCTGAGTTCCTTGCAGCAGAAGAATTGCTCTGTTATTTTTGTCATGGCCAAGAAATGTGTGAAAACTAAGGGCTGGCATTTCCCAAGGGGTATCTTGAATCTAAAAAGGTTGAGAATTGTTGTTTTCATCTCACTATCCACTGTTGAGCCCAATGCCTTGAGGGTCCATTCTCATAATCTGCATCCTGAGGTAGTGTTATCTGGTAGCCCAGATTTTCATCTACTCAATGTTGTACCTCTCCTAGATGGACCAGTGAGGCCATATATTGCACTGAGCCTTTAGCTCAGGGATGGGCAATTATTTCAGGCAGAGGGCCGCTTACTGAGTTTTGGCAAGCCATCGAGCACCACATGACAGGCATCCCAGGATAGATAAGTATTAATTTTCTAAAATTTTAGGGGCCCCATGGGCCAGATAGAATGGCCTGGTGGGCCACATCCGGCCCATGGGCTGCATTTTGCCCACCCCTGCTTTAGCTTGTCAGTTACTTGAAGGATCTCTCTAAGGCTGTGTCTTTAGCTGACATACAGGCTCCTATTTTTCAAAATCATAAGGCTTTTATTCCTTTTCCTTTCAGCAGCTGTCCCTTGCTAACTGTACGACGCACCATCTCCATCTCCGTTTCTGACGGCTTCCTTATATAATTCCAGGTAAGCCTCTTTTGATGAGCTTTAAAGCCTACATGTAGTTTCAAAAGGTTTCTGTTTTCTTTTGAGCCCAGAGTAGTGATGCTTCATTTTCCAGGAGGGTCTTTGAACCTTCTTGTCATGGGAACCAGTATCATCATTCCTGGAGCTGAGCAATCGCAACTCACTGACGTCAATGAGGACTGCATGTGTTCAATGACCTTCAAGCTCAGGCCCTGAATGAGGAGTCCGAGACACAGTAAACACCAATTATCTCCAAAAGAAATCTCAGACTGTGATTTCAGTTAGCAGGCATGGGGATAACAAGTGTTACAATTCTCTGATAAAATCACTGATAACAGTGGTGACCTCCAAATACTACGTAATGGCTTCTTGCGAGTCAATCTTCAGATTGGAATAATATGGCTGAGTTATAGTGCAAAACAATTAATATACCTGAAACAATTTCTAAATGACACCAGTCGTATATTTTAGATTTCATAGACATTAGGGCTGGAAGGGACCTCGCATAAGCATCGGGTCCAGCCCCCTGCCCAAGGGGCAGGAGGTCAGCTGGGGTCAGATCACCACAGCAAGATAAGCATCCAGGCGTTTCTTAAAGATATCCAGAGTAGATGCTTCTAGCATCTAGCAAATCTCATACTAATTCATATTTCAAGCACCAACATACTTTGCTTTTGGAAGTGTGATAAGGCACAAAATTACAGGACACAGTTCACTTCTTAAATATTAAAAAAACGTCTTTAAACTTCATGTGTATATTTTTATATATTTCCATTTTGTAAATACCTTTTTTTTGCCTACTGGCTGTGTATGTGTTATACTGTTCAGACATAAAGTATAACATTTCATTATTCAAATGTCAGCAATTTACAATTTCAAATAGCAAAGACTCCAAATAACTTTAATGGCATAACATTTACTTTATGATTTTACATTAAAAAAAATCTAAATTTAAAATTATTGTGCTCTGTTTTAGAGATTGCATCCAGGATAGGATAATAGGATAATGTGAAATTTAAAAATCACATTAAAAAATTCACACTTGTCTTATGAGAAGTAACTTAATTTTTTTCCACTTCAACAGCACTAGTTTTTTAACTTTTTGCATTTCTATTAATTATCTTCATCTTCAGGTTTCAGGGTTGTAATTTTGGCCTGAAAACAGTACTGGGGCTTGTTAGTGCTTCTGACAAATTTCTGTTGCAGTGTTGTTCACTTTGTTTTGTTTTTCTGGGGGTTTTTTTATAATAACAAAAATATTGGACTGTGTAAAAGTGAGCTTTTTGAACCACAGCCCAAGATATGGCCAAAACTGGATAATAACCCTTTAGATCAGGGGTTTTCAACCTTTTTTTAATAAGTGTACCCCTGGCGGCCCCCTTTTTAATAAATGTACTACTGAGGGGCAAGGGGAGAGGATGGGGATGGTGAGTGGCCAGATGCAGTGCGAGGGTATGGCGAGCGGCGGCAGCGCAGCGTCTGTGCATGATTATTCTCGTTGCATTTTATTTAAACCTGTATACAAAACCTTAGTTTAAAAAAATGTAGCCAACTAATATGCGATCCATTCAGATTTCACTTTGGGTTGCAATAATAAAGTGGTCTGATGGGTTCTGCTAGCACCTTCTTGGACACAAAGGACATGGCTCTTCCCTTGCTTCAGCATGGCCTACCTTTTATTTACAGAGCATGTGATCCATTTCCTAAAGGTCTGACAGAGTTCCCTCTGCCTACCAGGAATTAAAGGCATGCCTCCCACTGAGAGCAGCATGTGCTTTCTTGTCATCTGGCCTCTTATGATGATAACATGCTCTGACTATGGTAACCTGCTCTGGACTCTAAGAAGCTTACTTCTTCTACTTTGCAAAAAACTGTAGCTAAATTCTAAACTAGACAGAGGCTGATTCCATTTAGTTTTAAAGTGCTGACTACAAAACAGGGTGAATGAAAAATGTAATTCCCCTCTCTTCTGCTCATCAGACATGCAGGACCTTGCTCTTTCTAGGCTGGCAGTAATTCTTGTTTAGAGGTTATGTTTTATCTGACTTCACTGGAGTATGCAGGTGGGGAGAGCAGGGAGTTGTTGCTGCATCACCTTTGCTTTAGCGCTTTCTACCACACTTGGCTCCAAGTGAGATGATGAAGAACTTCCCCGGAGGGTTGGTAGCAGTATTTAAAACAGAGCAGTAATTTAGTGCCAGTATGTTATTACAGATTAAGATATTCCAGCACAAACACTTGCAGGATTTTGTTGAGATTATCAGTGATGGTTCTGTCAAGATTTTCTTCAGTGTCTTCCATGGTGTGCCATACTGAAGGGAAAGGGGATGGGATCAGGTGCAACACAGGAACTCCTGTGAGAGAAGAATTCAGTTAGAGATGAGACCAGCCTTTATGGTTCATAAATTAATGTACATTGTGGTCACTCTGACTGCAAAACTACAGTCAGATTATTATTCAATATGATTACTGCATAAAGAGATAATCTTGCTACAGCTTCCTTTTACTGTTCCTCTTTTTCAGTTAGTAAACACACTGGTTTCATTGCACAGTTCTCAAAAACTGTTTTTCTCTTCTCCTTCCCACCTGCTGCTGCTACTCCTGCTGTTTTTCTTTCAACATCTGTGGCTATAGTTGTTTGGACTCTAAAGCCAGTGCTTAGGTTTGTGGTCATGCTTTTACCATGCTTATGACAGAGCAACAGGGGAGCAGCAAAAGTAGTTACTGTAGCCCCTCCAAATCCACTCTGATCCCTGTTGCTATTGCAGCATAATGTTGGACCACAGGCAAGTTCCTGTGGGACAGTGCCACAGTGCCAGCTGAGGAGATGCCCATATCCCATGGTAACTGAAATCTATCCCACAGTAGTTTTTTAGCATGGTTTCATTTAGGGCTACAAATACTTCCCACTTTTGGGTCAACTTTGCTGTAAGGTAAGCTCATGCATGCAGGCACGCACTATGGGGCAGCTGACATAAGGCAAAGCCTTACACTCCTTTACCTCCCAGTAACTTGGGCATGTTGCTGTAGCTTTACTGTTGCTCTATTCTCCATAGCCATTATTCAGTTCCCTTGTTGGGATGGATGATTGAAACAGAGCACGGCTCATTTTCCTCAGAAGAGAGAATTTCCTGAATAGCTGCTTATGGCACCTTGGGCATCAAGCCAACAGAGGAGGTTGATCTTAAGTGTCAGAGGGCACATCTACACACACAATTAATTCGAAGCAATAAACTCTGGTGCTTACTGCACCAGAGTTTATTGCTCCTGGGCATACCATTTAAACATGTACCTGGGACCACAGCGCATTGAGCTGAGTCGAGGCAGCCCTGGCTGGCAGAGGGTTCAGGCAGTCAGCCTGCCAGCCTGGGACTGCTCCAACCCAGCTCAACATGCTGTGGAGGAGTTGGCTGGAACACGAGGGTGCTCCATTGTAGAGCTAGCCAGCAGGCAGCCTCGACACTGAAGCATCCTCGTGCCCTAGCCAGCCACATAGACTGTCTACACGTGCACTGTATTTAAAAGTACTACCGTGCTGCAAAGTTTATTTATTTACTCCAGCCTAATAGCCCTGGACATGTAGATGCTTAGTTTGTTGTAGAACCGATTTGTCTACTCTGTAATAAACGTCTTGTGTAGACACATCCAGAGAAGCCGGGGGTGGGTGGGATTTAAATTGGTTCTGTACCTCAGGGTCATTTTTCCTTTCTTAATCCTCTTTCCTGTCCTTGCTGGCCTCTTCCTTGGCTATAATACCAAATACTTACCACATCATCTAGTTGGGCATAATCTTGCAGGGAAACTTGGATTTTTATGGCCTTCACCTTTGCAATTGCTTGAGCTTAATTCCTGCAGACAGCTATATGGGAGACTGTGCTGTGGAGCAGTACAATCCTCATTACATTTGAAGAGAAAACAGATGAACAAGCACTTGGGATTTGGGAACCACTACTTTAGACTGTCAGCTTAATCAAATGTCTATGCCTAATTCTCTCCCTGATGAAACCCCTCGCTGTATGGGTCCAGAGTGCAAGAAAAACAGAAGCCAGATCCAGCAAAGGGTACAGGTTCCTAAGCTTAAGCATGTGATCCACAACAACTATCTAATTGCTTGGGCCTGCAGCTACCTGTGTTTTTGGATTTAAATTCTGTTACTTGGGTACACTACGATTTCAGCTGTGCTGAGTATCTTGGTGCCTGTTCCCTGCCAAAAGCTGTTTGGGATTCCCAAACGAGATGACACCATGAGCAAGGCCGTGGGGGAGCCCACGTCAACCTAAAAGGCTGACAACCAAGAGTTCAGTTCAGCCTCATTCCTATTCATCATCCAGGATGGAGGTAGTGGTACTGTGCCCACCTTTTATATCGTCAGAGCATTGGTGTGGGAGGTGGGCAACCCGAGTTCAATACCTTAAGGATTCAAACCCAATTCTCTGATCTCTCTGCCCTAACTGCTAGGCTGGAGGCAAGGCTGTGACTTTTTCCAGCCCTTATCCAATGATTCTTTAATGCAAAATATATAAACACGCCTGGGAACAAGGATCAGAATGCAAACTCCCACCTGCCAAGAGACTGACTTCATTCCTGGGCTACAGTCCTTCCCCTCTTGCTTATGCTGCCCTTGGCTCCATGAATCTGGTGTTTTTGGCTACACAGTGATATAACTTCAATAGGAAAGGCAGAGGTGGCCTCAGCCTAGACTGCAGCCTGATGGTTAGGCAAGGACTGTCTTGGGAGAAGGAGAAAACAGACTTGAATCCAAGTCTCCTGCTTCCTGATCCTAATGGAGCACTTGCTGTTACATGACATGTACCCTCTCCTCCTTCCTTGGGCATCTTTAAAAAAAAACAACAAACAAATGAATGGGCCACCCAGTCTCTGAAGGCAGAAGTATGACTTGGGTGCCTCAATCCAGGGAGGGGATGTCATGCTCTGAATCTCAATCCCAGATTGGTGCTTAAATCTGGGAGAGAGGCAGAATAATTGGCTTTCTCTGGTATCTCCTGGCTCAGCAATGCTGCCTGTTGTGAACTCCATTCTTAGGTGCATAACTCCTCCCCTGAGCTGCAGTGAGAATGTAGACACCTAGTTCAGGTTTGTGAATTCAGTCCTGTAAATATGGATCCTAGAGCCTTATTTCACTGTTGCAGTAGTATTATAACTAAGTTGCTCGGTAGATATGGGTTCTAGTACTGCTTTGGCTATGGCATTTCTCTGGGAGCTATGGCTCTTCTGAAAAATGGATTTAAAGGTCTCCAGTTCAGAGGCTTAGTGCTAAAAATGCTCATTTGCATGCATCCTGAAGTAAGCACCTGTTCAGGCACAATAATGAGCACCCAACCCTGAAATTACAGAGTGATCATACAGTAGGCAGGAAATATTAATGCAGCTTTTACTGTACCTCTTATTAAAAATGGAACATGGTCATCCTCAATCATGCCTTGATGTGAGTTACCCTGGAAGTACTGCCTTTCAAATGGGTGATTCTTTAGCAAACCCAACCCATGTAGCTTTCGTTCTGTAATTCACAATTGAAATAAAAATTAAGCTATGCACGACAGTATAGTCATTTGAACATCTTTGCACGACAGTATAGTCATTTGAACATCTTTGCACGACAGTATAGTCATTTGAACATCTTTTGTCCTCTAGTATGAGGATCCTTTTCCCACCAAAGAGAAAACATTAGAAACAAACTATTTGCATTTACTTTGCATTGTTCAGTACAGGATCTCAAGATTGGTTTTGCTCTCCTTATTGTACGTACAAGAAAACTAAAGCATACTAAAGTTAAACAATTTGTCCAAGGTTACACAGAGACACTCCTAGAACCCTGATTTCGTGGCTCTAATACTTCTAGACTTCCCTTATTACAGGTTACAAATGTTAGAGTCTTTATAATAGATACACCAATTTTAGAAATGGGGGGCAGGGTTGTTATTTTCTTTTAATTTTAGTCATAAGATTCCCAATCCTGAAAATGGAATGGTGTGAATCAGATAAATTGTGAAACCTCATGATTGATGATAAAACAAAATGACTTTAGCAAGGAGGATCTTACTAAAAACACATGCCCCTTAAAATGCTGGTAACTTGCTTTTGTTAGAAATGGTTAACAATTTTCAGTTGCAAGTCTACAAGCTGTCTGCATTAAACAGTCTGTGGAATTCCAGGAAAAAAAGTGGCCCTCTTTTACACAGCAATTTTAGGACTGAGCTTGTACTTTTTATAGCTGTCAAATTTATAAAAAAAATTTGATCGTGATTAGTTGCGCGATTAAAAAAAGTCTTGATTAACCATGATTTTAATCGCACAGCTAAAACTTCAAAATTATGTGCAGAAAAAAATCAAAATTTTGCAAAATTATGCAAGTAAATCTGTGTAAGGGAGGGGCAGGGGGTCCAGATCGAGGCCCACATAGTGAGTGAGGGAGTCGGGCTGGGCAGGTCATGGGACGGGGCCATGGGTGGCTCATCCAGGCGCACGGCTCCCTGCTGCTATGTGCACCCTTGGGAGAGGCATGGAGGGCATGTGCCCCTCAGATTTGCGTGCAGGGCAGCTGCGGGCTAGGGCTCTGCACCCTGCTGCCTTTGCCCCTGGAGCCACACCCTGGCTGTGCTGTATCCCCTGCCCACCCGGCGGCTGGAGGCACAATATGGCGTGGCGTTGCGCTGCTCCCAGGGCAAAGGCAGCAGAGGCGGAGCCCCAGCCGGCAGCTCACCTTCAGCACATGCACAAATCTGGGGGGCATATGCCCAAGGGTGTGCGCAGTGTCAGAGAGCTGCACCCCTGAACAAGTCACCCACAGCTTCGTCCCATGACCTGCCCCTGCCTCATTCCCTCTCTCACCGTGCAGGCCTCGATCTACCACCCCCTGACCCTTCTCCCCCCACCCTCTCTTCCACATACTTACCTGCAGGACACTACTCTACACACTACCGGGCTGCGTTCCTGGCCATATGCAGGCTGCAGCTGCTAATCTGTGCCTGTGTGTGTACCTCCCCCCTCCTCTCCCCTGCCCACTGCAGCCTCCAGGAGCCTGCACCAGGCTGTCCTGCAGTCCTCTGCATTGCTGCTGCCACCTAACTGGGTGACCCGGTGACGGCAATGGAGTGGAGCCCAGGCACAGGCTCCGAAACCACATGCATGATCCACGTGTTAAAAAAATTAACTCAAGAACCAATTAATGTGTTAATCACACATGTTAACTGTGATTAATTGACAGCCCTGCTTTTAAACATGGGTAACCCACACCTTACCAGTTGCTTGAAGCCTGTTAAACCACCGGGCAGTTTTTGGAAAATAATTGGGAAAAGTCGGGTTTGGTGCACCAATCAAATCCAGTAACATAAGTAGATCCTGTAAGAGGAACACAAAAGCTTGTTAAAGAGCACATTTTTTTAAAATAAATAAGCTGTCCTACTTTTATATAAGTGGAAGTGTAACATTCCCTCTTCTCTAACTCAACAATCCTTATCAAAGAACCAATGATATCACCACCATGTCTGAAGAGATCTAGTTGGCAGAGGCAGTAGCCAGTTCTAATATGAGAGTACATTTAACAAGGAACAGCATAATTTGCAAAATACAATGGCCCAGACTCAGAACATCTGGTGCAAGCAGTTTCTACTTTCAGAAAGAGAGCATGTTGTCCCTCCATTTGTCCCTGTTCTTATCTAGGTGAAGTTGCCCATGCTGAAGAAAGATAACGGAAGTAGGACCTCTCAAAAAACTGCTATTAACTTGAATGTAGTTCCTGAGAAACTGTTTGGCTCCAAGGGAAGTTTGGCCAATTATTTCACAGTAATAATGTGCATGAAGTTTAACTATTTCTTATTTTAAAATGAAAAGGGTTTTCACTTACAATGCCTTGTAGCTGACTTGTGGTAGTGGTACCAGGTGGATGTGGTGTAGATGCCATTTTCTGAGCTAGGTGTTGAGATCCATAGAGAGAATCAAAAGGCGACCACTGAACAAAGGCTTCTTCACCGTCAAAGAAAATGAGCTGAAGTGAAAGATCTGGTCTGGAGGTGGAGCTGTTCTGTTGATAAATGATGCTTTTTTTTTAATACATACAGACAGAACATTGATCCTTGATCTAATCCTGCACCTGTTACCTGTATGAGTCATCCTTTTGAACTAGTCAATAAGAAACTTCAGCATTAGCCTATTTTCAGGACATCATATCCAGATCTTCCAATTTTTTCAATCTCTGCCACATCATGATGGCTGCCATTTGCTTGTACGCCAGCATTTAATGATATAGTTTATTTACAAGGATGTTGTAGGTTACATCTCTGCCTTTTTTGAGAATAAATCCAATAACTTGAGAACCATCTACAAAACCAGGTAGCTGAAAAAGCTGATGTCAGATGGGAGTAGCATATGGGACAAGTCAGGACATGAAAGACGTGGGTCTGCAACAACACCCAATTGAGGTCTGACTCGGCTGACAACTCATCATGGATGTCTGGCTGCAGGTCTGTCTGTATACACACACAAGCTGTATTTTTTGTAAAGCTTCTGTGTGCTGGGTCTCATGAAACCTTAGTGAGGAACAAAGAGCCATCAGCCATGAAAACAGTGACGGCCTCTTCCTGTAGCGTGACGGGCAGCCAACTGTAGGGGTTATATTTGACCCTCAACCCAAAGCAAAGAGTGCCTGTTGGTCACACCCTTCCTCTTTAGTTGCCAAAAAATCAAGGCAATCCAGTCCACTTCAGAAAAGACAACTTTTCTGTTTAGGGTTGCAAAGAGCTATCCATATGAAATATCTTCCCCTTCCCTTTTCTTAGTACAGATAGAGGCTTTATCTGTACTCAGGATATTTCCTAAGATTTTTAGGAATTAGCCTAAAATTAGTCTAAGTAATTTAGCCTTGGTGTTTTAACTTAGTATGTCCACTAGTCAGAGCTTCAAACCTTATCAGGGTTATATACAATACAGTTAAAATGGTGGGAGCAGGGTCAACAACAAGTAGTGACCCATATGAATTGTGACTCAACTTTGCTACCATGGGTGGAGTTCCATACTAGGAGAAACAAAAGAGGCTAGAATACTTCAGTTTGAAAAGGAGAAGGCCAAGGGGTGATAAGTCTATAAAATCATGAAGGGTGTGGACAAAGTGAACAGGAAACTGTTATTCAGTAAGTCCCAGAATACTAGAACTAGGGGGGACCTAAAATTACCATGAGACATGTTTAAAGCTAGCAAGCGAAAGTACTTTTTTTTACGTGGTGCATAGTTAACTTGAGGAATTCATTACCACAGGAGATGGTAAAGGCAGATAATATACCTGGGTTCAGAAAGAGACTAAAACATTTCATAGATGATAAAATCATTAATAGCTATTAAACAAAACAGAGATGTAAATCAACGATGGTGGGTGCCAGGAAAGGTATGACAGAGATCACTCTAGATATACCCTGTTTATATGCTCTGCCTCTAAAGCATCTATTCCTGCCACTGTTGGAGACGGGCTACTGGAATAGACAGACCATTGGTTTTACCCAGTATGGCACTTTTTATGTTCTTATGAGCTGAAACAGTACAGCTCTAACTCTGCAAGGGAAATTCTGTAGAAAATATTATTTTTATAAAATATGTAATTCCTATAAAAGTTCCTTTGTGTAGTTAGGGCTATATGATATTCAGTCCATGGTGACTATTTTTTCTGGTAGAGATTCCATTTATTCCTGTTCATGCCTTCCACTGGAATCCCCACCCCCATAACACAAGTCATCCCCAGCATACCTATTATAAGAAAAGCCATATCATGCACAGGCATTTTATTTGCTTCCATGTTTTAGGTTTTCGTATTTGCTTGGTCCTAGATCTGAATATTGTAGAAAGATATCTTTGACCTACATTATTTTATACTTCCTTTATATACTTGGAAGAAGAATGCAATGGAAATTGCAGCTCAAACTCATAGTATAAGTAGATCTGGCTGAGAGAATAACATAGCATTATACTACCAAGGCAGAACCAAAAAGGTCACAGATAATGTATTCTTCATATATATCCCAAACAGTTTTGCTACCAGTCTATGAAAAGTATTTGCCCACCTCATGAGAGAAAAAGCTGTAATTAAATCTATTATTTGCTAAAAATTAAAATCTCCAAATTGATGCTGATGATTGTTCGTACAAATGGCTGGGGGAGGACATACAAAAAAAAAAAAATCAAGCTTTCTAAATGAAAATGAATAAGTAAAATACTCTGATAAATTATGTATTATAGAAGTGCTTATTTTTGTAATAAGCAGTTTCCAGATATATTCCTTCCATTAAAAAGCAAATGTGTATAATTTTCTGGGGACAATCTGAGCCACAAAAAAAATAAAAAGTGAGACTGTGTATATTTATTCCCCATTTTTAGAATATTTTATTATTTCATATCAGAACTCATCAAAAGCCTGTTATCTGCCCTTTAATAGAATCAACTTTATGTATGTATCCATTATTATGTTAGAACCCAGGATTGAATACATGATGAGAAATATTTTTTTAAGTCTTCTGTTACTTCCACTGTATATTACTGAAATGCTCAAAACACTGTTATCATTGCACATTTATCCTCATTTGTGATTGCAGTAGTATGGCACTGGCAGTGCCCTTATCTCCTCTGCATGACATGTTGTAGGATGTTTTGTTATTTCTGGTTTTGTGCCTTGTAGTTGTGTTTGAGAGTTACTTGGGGTGATCCTTGAGGAAATAGTTGGCTGTGAGTGAAGGGGACTGGACGCCATGGTCTAGGAGGCCCCATATAGTCCTTTATCAGTTAGGATAATAAATTGACCTATTATGTGATATTGGATACTGTAATTTTGGGAGCACTGAGACCACACAGAAGCAACCTAAGGCTTACAATTTGCGATAGAAAAGAAGCGACAGAGACAATGACATAAATACCTCCATTGTATGAAGCTGGCTGTCCAGGGCGCGTGCTAACTCTAACAGCATAGCACAGGGCACAGCTGCGTCTGTGGCCCCCACAAACACTCTGCCATCCCATTGTGGGCCAAAATATTTTGAGTCGTAGTGACAAGCAAGTACCAGATGGCGTTTGGCAGTGGAGTCGAGAGTGCTAATGATATTTGAAAAGGTTCGATATCCATAGGGTGTGTATCTCTGAAATGTATCTTCTTCAATTACCCAGCCAGCCTGTAATCTTTGAAGACGGTGCTTGATATGCTGGAATAATAATAATAATAATTATTATTATTATAATTAGATAAACAATGTTCTAGTTCAAACAAACTCTCCAATCGGTAGCTAGTTTAGAATAGCAACACTTAAATATTTCTGCAGTAGTCACAGCATTTTTAATAAAAGTATATTCTGCAATTAGGTAGCTAAGTATAGTCTGTAACAAGGCACTGTAGTGACATTCAATGGAGTGACATGTTCAAATATTTAAGCATCAGTACCATAACTGGTGCTTAAAATACTACACATCACTGTTTCGCTGCTACCTTATCCCTCCTCTCACAATTGTTCCATTTGTCTCCTAAAATTGGAAGCTCTTTGGGGTGAGGATCATTTTTAAATAGATATTTTTATTATACTCTTATACTGTGCCCAACATAATGGGATTTTGGCTGCTCATTGGGGCCTCTAGGTACGGCACTGTAAATAATATGTTGATTTTTTGACTTCCCACACAATTTCAAGTGAACAAGGCTTGGATGTTCAAAAGGAAACTCTCTTCTCCATAAAGGCAACAAATATAGAACATCTGAGGACAGCCAATTTAAAATAATGCAATTTTACAGAATATAATTCAGGGTGGCGACAAAAATGTAAACAGTAAAATCTATACAACAGCACTCATCTTGGACAGCTTCTGCCTTAAGAAATTGCCTCTGAATAGCTCTATATGTATTCAGTATAGAGAGTTCTGCTTCAGTTTCATCTGAAGACCATCTCTTCAAAGCAGTTGATTTTTACTGGTTCCCGAGTACTGTGATAAGGTAGTTCCATCTATTTAGATAAGCAGTAGGGTAAAGTCTTTGAGAACATTAGGAATCCAATCTTGTTCTTACTGAAGGCAGCATGCACATTGTCATTAGTTTCAGTGCTGGCAGAGACACCTCCTTCAAGCTGTTTTAATTTTGTTTAATGTTGTTTTGAAAATCCATGCAGTAAGAAGGTAAATGCTACCTTCGGTCTGTGCCAGCCGGCCATTGGGATCACTTGGAGTTCTGCTCTGAATTAAGTGAAATACATAGTCCTGCACCTACTTGCCAGCGATCAGGTTATAATTCAAAGTTGAATTTAGCCCACTCCACAGAATGACTTTGACTGTCCCCCCATGCCCCCAGCCTACTGGGTCTTAGAAATGCCAAGGCACAGTGGAGTATAAAATCAGAGATGCTTATTTGTTACATTTTCATAGGAGCTTTGTTTTTATGCAGTGTTGTTACCCAGCAGCAGCAGAGAGCTCCAGGTTAGTGGCTGTGTGGTTTCCAGGCCTCTTTCTGCTCTATTTTCTTTCTTTTGGCTGTCTGCCAGCATCACCATGGAAACAAGGGGACTGGATGGCATGGAGGCTGGTTTGACTTTGAAACAAGCTGCATTTTTCTGCTCCACCAGCTACAGATTGGCAAATTAATTTACGCAACAATTAGGGCTATGCTCAGTGGTTTTCAACCTGTGGTCCGTGGACACCTGGGGGGCTGCAGACTGTCTAAGGGGTCTGCAATAATGCCTATGATCAATCAAAAGTACATGAATACCCACACTTAAAATTCAACGGGGTCCACACCTCCACCTGAAATTTCCAAAGGGGTCCTCACCTCCGTTTGAAATTTTTTAGGGGCCGGCAAATGAAAAAAGGTTGAAAACCATTGCTGTAGCTGTTAAGTCACACTGGAGTCTGCATTGCAGGGGTGTGTGCGCAAAATGGCCCTACGTGGGTGAGCCTCCTGTAGAGGTATCCTGGGGTTTGTTTGGTTGTGGTGGGGGGGGGGTCAGGGGTTTCGTATCCTAGGCCAAATTAGCCAAATCAGTTCTGAATCCTATCAACTGAACAAAACTCAATCATTAAAAAACCATATGTGGTGCTACAACCAGCAAGTATCCTCCACCCCAGACTTTACAGTTTGGAGTTTCACATACTGTGAAGATCCATTTGGCATGCATCCTACATGCAGGCCCAAGGCCGGAGGTCTTGGGGTCTGGATGCCCCTAAGTCCCTTAGCCAATAGCCACAGGAGCAAGCAAAGGAAAAGTTGCCTATTTCCATAGAGTAGGCGTGTAGCCGAGTCCTCTGGTGTGGCTGAGGGAACCAGAGCAGAGACTATTTAACAGATGCAGTATGTGTTTAAAGTGTACAGGTTCAACTTTCTTACTTGCTAAAGGGGTAAAGGGGTTGCTGCAACTCAGCCTTTGATTCTCTTCATCTTACTAGTGCATATTGCAGCTTGGGCAGGAGAAAGATACATTTGATCCTTGCAATCTGGTAGAGCATGAGGATTAGATTTGCTCTAGTCCTTGAAAGAGGAATAAAGATTACTGGAAAAAGAATCCTTCATTCTCCATGTGTAAACCTATGTAGAGTCAGCCACAATCTCTGTTTTAAAAAAAAAAAAAATGTATCAAGGGAAAACAAGAAGCAAGAATGAACTCTCAGTTTTTAACATGAAAAAAGATTAACATTGGGTATAGAAGTCAGTGCTCCACAGGATGACTGATTCTGTTTAACTTATTTGTGTCTAATCTTCTAATAATCTTACATACAATAAGTAATCAGTTGCCTATACATATAATAACATTGTAATAAATATTATATAGGGCTCACTCTATTTGATTAAAGTTTTACAACATGTGGCCAATTGCAGGTCTTTTTGGAACCTTGTTTGGAAGCTGATTAAGTGAATAGTGTCCTGTTAAATTCTCTAGGTTGTTAAAGTCCTTTTTCAAGTACATAATTATGGTTTATTAATTTCCTGAAGTTCCACAGGACTTTTCTTAATGGGTGACCAAAGAGTAGACCTGGTGTTTGCAAGTGCAACTCTCTGGAAGTTACTGGAGCAACACTAAGGGTGCATTTTGTTCTACTGCTATGAAATTCTGAAGCACCTTTCTTCCAGGGATCTCAAAGTGCTTTATAAACATTAATTAATGAAGCCTCACGTTGCTCCTCTGAAGTAGGGAACAATCAGTATCTCTGTGTTATATGAATGGGAAATGAACTAGGGCAAAAATAACTTGCCCAACATTGCCCAAGGGGTAGATGTCAGCCATAGCAAAGAAACCTCAAGCTCCTGACTTCTGGTCTCATGGCCCTTTTGTGGCTTCCTGACAGACTGTAATAATCCAAAACAAGTTAAATGGCAAGTAGCACTGTGTCTACTAGAATACTAGCAGAGCAGCACTAGAACAAAATCTCTTCGGCAACTCAGTAGCCCAATCCCCAAACTAGCAAGAAATCTTTAGGGAAAGCACTTGGCTTGTCCACTGTATGGGACAGATATCCACACGGTATGTGTGCGTCAATAAAAGAGCAAAAGGCAGACTTGATTTTTGTTTATGAAACATAGAAGGATTTTTTTATTAAAATATGTGTTCAAATTCTGTTTTACTATGAAATCTAATACCTAGCTCAGAAATGAGATTAGGGAGTAGAACCTGATGTAAATTAAGTTTGGGATCAATCAACCTTCACATTGTGAATGGCATTTTTTCAGTATGACAATACTGATGTTCGCTTTACAGAATGCAGGGAACGTGTCCTTCCATATTAGTAATCAGTGCCTAGTACATTGAGAGCACTATCAGGATACAAAGAATATATAGTAGCCAAAGGCCTCATCTATACAGTATGCTTAAGGCTTGATTAACCAGTTAATGATGCCTTAACATGTGTAATAACTTTGTAGCTTGTTCTTATCATGCCATTCATTGAACCTGTAGCTATGTGCTTACCTGCTCTGAACCTTGTCTGCTGTGCAGCCTGCAGTTGGGGCAGTGCGGGGAATGCTGTGAGCCGTGTTAACTGTGGAGCTCACAGCCAGAGAGCTGGTGCAGTGGGGTTGCAATCCTGGGCTTCCCCTGTACCAGCAATAAAGTATGATTGGATCTGATGCTGAATACCACAGCGATGCCTCCTGCATCCAATGAGTGGCATGGCAAGAGGTATGATTGTGTGGACCACGCATCAGATCCTATCACGCCTTTATCTGAATGTCTAGAGGGTCCCCTAATATCTTCAGAAGATGCAGTCTTACCTGACGCACAGCATAATTTCCTGGTGATCCTGAGTATCTCTCTATCAGCATAGGGTACAAATCACTTTGCCACATTAGAGAAACATTTGTGTTTGCTGCAATTTGCTGGATACTGGTAGAATTTAAAATATTTGATTGGTGGGAATACTGCAAAAGGAAAAAGTAAATATTACAATAATCATTGCTAATTACATCTCTTAAACTTGATTTTCTTAAACATTACAGTAAATACAGTGCACTTGAATGCAACTGCTATCTTCTGCTGTATTATTAGTAGCTTGAGTGCCAGTCTGATTTGTCCTGGCATTCTACAATAATATGGAAACAAAGCAACTCCTTTAAAGTATGGTTCATCTCTCAAGAAGTCACTCTAGAAGTGGCATTATGGAGTTCTGTGTCCTTTAAAAAATGTACTTATTTCCAGACAGAATGTGCTTAGTTTCTAGAGAAAAAAAATTATTTTTCTAGGTGCCAGCACTGCAAATTCAACCATTTATTTTAGTTGGGTTCCTTCTATCTCATATATCATTACCAGTAATAATATTACATCTGGGTAAGCTATTGTGTTTTAAGTTGGGTCTTGATTACGATATATCTATTTGACCTATTACTATTAATGATGCCTGAAGAGCATATCACACACGTGGAGGTTACAGGACAGCAGGGGTGTTTTTTTAACTTAAAACCAACTGCCTGGGAGGGGAAGAGGCCCTTCTATTCAGGCAGGGTTGAAGGAGTTAAAATTATCTTCCTCATTTCTGCTAATCTTTCTCAACTCTACATGTATTAATGATCGGCTGTCCTTTTTAATGGCCTGTTGTTCCACTATTCAAACTGTCCTTTCTTCTTTATTTGTGCTGTCTCTTAGCCATTCCTGGTAATGTGTCTCTTCTGTTTCACAGCCCTGCAGACTGTTTTAACTTTAGCTAAAAACCTCAACTTGGGTGTGGTAATATTAACTCAGATATAGAAATGACTGACAGTGAAATATTGGAGGCACTCCAATCTGAATAAGAGATGTACATTTAACTGTAATGAGTATAGGACTGTTTTTGCCTAGTTTGTAATGTTTTTATAAATTGAATATATTATCTAGCAAATCAGTGCACATTCCAATAGTTATATTTATTTCTACTTTGAGCTTAACATGAATAATATAGCGCTACTCCCCCAGTATGTTAGGAAAGCTTCTAGTTTGTCTTTAACTGGAGAAAAAACCATGTACTGTGTTGTATGTGATGATGATGCACCATACTATTTGCACCCTGTTTTTCAAAAACCCTAGATCTGCCTATTCAGGGCAGATACTTAGAGAAAATATCTTTTTTATTTGCAAATTTCACATAGGAAGCAGAGGGACACAACAATGTTGACTTTCATTTTAGAGTCACACTTTAAAACAAAAAGCAGACTGAACATTAGAGGATGTGAGGTCTTCAGCAGTCTTACAGCACAGTTATGTGACTCACCCATTACACTGTGAAACACTTCCTCTAAGTGATATTGTGTAAACTGGACCTATTAGAAATGATCACAAATGAAGAGAGGCATGATTGTGTCTTAGCAGCTGAAGAAAGTGTTTGATAACATCAGGTTTATATTAACCTTGGAGTAGCAGATCATTGAGAAAAAAGGTTTGGTGGAGAGCACTGTTGGAAAAAAAGACAAGACCTAAAACTGCAGTCTCTACAAAAGAAGCCAGCGAAAATATAATTAAGGGAATTCAGAGAGTAGCATATCTTGGTCTGAGGAAATGATGGGCTTGGTTAAAATGGTGAATCATATCTAGCTGAAGCAACACAAGACGAGGGTACACCACAGTGGCTGCATAGTTATTGTGAAAGGAGGCAGTGTTGCAAAGATACAAACCCATGAAAGAGGAAGAGGAACAAAATCCCCATTTTTATGATATAGTCACATAATTTACCTATCCAGAAAGGGATGCAGATTTATAACAAGAACCAAGGAAAATAGAAGATATGAGTTAGATTTTGCTTTGACAATACCTATGAAATAGAAAAGATCAGCAGCATGAAGTGCACTATAGACTCCTCTTTCCCAGCACTGACCCTTTTGCATTGCCTCTACCTGGAGAAAAGGAGGGACTGGGCCACTCTCCAACTACAGTCCCCTGGCCCCGTTGATGCCCCCTGCCCACAGCCTCCTGCCTTCCCCAGCCCTGCCAGAGGGGCCCCCAGCTTCCAGAGCTTATGGGACCAGGGACCCAGGTCCAGAGTCGTGTCCGCAGCCCTCTTCCCCCCACTGAAGCACCCGAGGCCTGGCTACCACCCACAGGAGACAGCAGCTACTGCAGCCCGGGGGGAGGTCAGCTCCCACCCCCCCACAGGCAGCATAGCCAGTGCCAGCTGTGGGCTCGGGCTCCCCACCCTGCTGCCCTCCCCACAGGGCCTTCACAGCCCAGGAGGGCAGGCATGGCAGGCCAGAGCAGGGCCAGGCCAGGCAGAGAAGCTCCTTGCTGTTGCAAGCCAGCACTGCCCTGGCAACATGCCCCTTGCTCACCCCAGAGCAGCGAGGGGACGCAGACCTGCCCAACTCCTTCCCTGCAGGGGCCTCAAACCCCCCCCACATCAGACTTACTTGCAGGAGCTGCTTTCCAAGCTGTCTAGCGGCCATGTGCATATGCACCCTGCCTGACCACCCTCCTCCTGCAGCCCCCAGCCCCTTGCAGGCTGGAACTCTTTGCAAAAAAGTAAAATCTGCATGTTTCTCTGTTAAAATTGAAAATCCATGTTTTTCCTTAGGGAAAAGAGAAAATCCCCATTTTTCCATGGGAAACTAGGATCCCTGGTTATCAGCCATAACAATACTCATATTTCTCAGCTAGACATAGTTCACCAAAGAGCCCTTTGTTTCCTCAACTAAGATCTAACTAAAGCCTCTTTGAATCACCTTAATTATATTCTGATTTCTTTTCCAGAGTCCCATCAACTTTTTTCCAATTCAGCAGCACTCACTGTTAAACGTTTACATTGTTGTTCTACTAATTCCAACTTGGTGTAAATCATATATCATCACAACGGTAAATTCGGGAAAAACAATTCTCTGTACAGACGTTAAATTACAAAAGATAGAGACCATGTTATCTCTTTATCTGCCAGTGGCATGTATACTGGTACCTCTTAATAACAGCACCTCTTAAATAATAGGTTAAGATTTCTGATCTTTATGTTGCCAGCATCACATAGGCGAGATACAAACGTTACCCTTTCACCAGTATAAGTGATCGAAAACTGGCCTATACCTGTAACAGAACAGAAGTTTGGCACATGTAGACTGGTTTAAACATGGCAGAACTGGTCTAAGATTTGCCCCCCATCCCCCAAAGGGTGAATGTGTGTTCTGTTCACTACCGATCTAAACTATGCTGCTTACAGGAAGGGGCATAGTTGCCTGATAAGCAAGGATCTGGGTTTTCTATTTGCTGTGGAAAACTGTGGATTTTCTCCTTTAACAGAGAAAAAAAGGCAGATTTTCTCTCTAACTGAGAAAATAATGGGTTTCCCCCCTTTAAAGAAGAAAAACATGGTAAACTGTGGGTCTCCCCTTGCCACAACTCTGTGCTGCTGCCCTGTCTCACCATGGCAGCTTGGCGCTCACTCCTACACCAGGTCCTGCCCACTGGGGTGTGGAAGCAGCTCCTGCCCAGAGCTGGTCTGGCCCAGCTGCAGCCCCATGCCCTACTCTGGGCACAGAAGTCTTGGGGTACACATGCCCCCCAGACCCCCTGCTGCATTGCCTTGGTCCTCCCTGGCCCCCCGTGCATCACCTGTGCCCACACCCCCTCATTCCCTACACACCCACTCCCTTCCTCATGCACTGGGGGGCAGGGGTGGGGGCAGCGGGTTAGGAGTAAGGGGCACCAGCAGGGCTGGGGTGGGGTTGGCATGTGAGTGAGGGGCAATGGCATATCAGAGCTGCTCAGTGCCACAAAGCAAGGGGGAGGTGAGGTACAGCCAAAACTGGACCCACAGCCTGGTGAGTGAAGGGGACAGGGGGAGCTCTGATTTCCCATGATAAAAAAAGTGATATCAAATGCCAAAATATATAGGTATTTAGAATTTATTTTATTATTTATAATAAAATTAAATTCTAAATACCTATATATTGTGGTGCTGGTAGGTTTCCAAATAGCTTTAAACGCAGGGTTTTAATCCAAGAATTTGGGCTTTGTAAACAGAAAACCTGGATCCCCGCTGATCAGAGATGGCTCTGCAGTAAAGATGCAATTCATCTGACTATCTCTAGTAAGGAAGAGGGGAGGGCAGCCTGTGTTCAGACTGACAGGGCTAACTACCTCTCTCTCTAGTAAGGAAAGAGAAGGGATCTTATGAAGATCATATTAGAAGCCTCCTGACTGGCACAGAGAAACTGCTCTGGGGTATTAAATGGCTTTCATCTGCTCATCTCTCCTTCCCTCTACAAGAGAGATCAAATCCCCACTCTGCAAGCAAGTTGGGGGAAGCAGGGGGGGATAAAAAACAGTCTGAGAAATGCAAGCATGACCCACCTTCTCCTGTGTCCAGTCCTTTGTGGCTTCCCTCCCATCCACCAGCTGAGAGAGAGTGACTGCTGCCAGGCAGAGTGCCCAGGCCTGGCAGAAGGATGCTGCTGCCTGGGTCTTACCTCTGCTTCCCCCTGCCATCCCTCTTCTGCAGCTACCACTGCTGCTCCTCCTGGTCATGTGTTAAAAGCCCGGTCAGCTCCTCCTGCAGGCCACCCCTTCCCCTCCCCTCCCCTCCGCTTTCTATAAGTGTCTGGGGGTGGGAAGGGGAGATCCGGGGTCTGTGCTGAGGGTGGAGGAATAGAAGCAGTGCTGGGGTGGAGGGGGGGGGAGACTTTCCAGTGTGCTGCTGTAGGAGCAGGCACTTGGCTCTCTCTCTCTGATTCATTCAGCAATATCTACTATTAACCACCCCTTCCCGATGCAGTTCCCCTGTGAAATGAGCCTTGTCCCTAGCACCACGTCATCACCATCAGGAGAGCTGCATGTGACTAATCCTCAAGCCCTCAGGCAGTAATTAGTGTGGGATGGTCTCTCCCAATCCTGCCCTCCCCCATTTCCTCCTTTCTTTCTCCAGTGTTGCAATGAGCCTCCATGGTGAGGTTTGTTTCTTACTGGCAACAGTGACAAGAGTTGCAGTTTGTGTTTTTTGCTATTCTTTGTGTTGACCGATGAGGATCATAAAGCATGTTTTTTTGTTTTTGTTTTTGTTTTTGCATACAGGCTGAATGAATTCAAATAGGCTGAGAGCTTAGTGCCCCTTGACTTCCATATGTCTGAACATCAGACCCTTTACTTCCAGGCTACTTACTTCAATAAGCCTAGCTGTAGGCCCCTATTACTTGCAATTGTAGGACATCATTAACTAATTACAATTATTTTTTAAGGAATAATTGTTTGTAAAGTGTCTTGAAATTGCTTAGATGTATGTAACTGCAAAGCATTATTATCATGTATTATTACTTTGCTAGGGTTTTGAGGCACCCTATACTCACCTTACTTTGGAGGTTGCAAGATCATGGTGTTTTATAGGAGCTACCCTACCATGAGTAGTCCTACCATGTTGCCACCAGGCCCCTCCAGTCAGATGCAGTTTACACTCATACCCAGAAACAAAAACTACCCTCCACTGCCTTATGGGTATTCCTTGGTTGGAGTAAGGCTAAGGGACATCACCCTGACAAAAGTATTCCCTCACTGAGGCATTAGGCAGTCAACAACAGGTCTAATCTGTTGCTCTTTGGCAGAAGCTACAACCATCAAGGCACTGAACATCTGGATTTGGTCTGGCCTTGTACTCTGTCTCAGTGGTCTAAAGGGGAGAATGGTAGATTTAGGACAGCCTCCACTCCTCCATACTCCTGCCTAAGTGCATGCATTGAAGATCTTGGTGTGATGGTCACAGGACCCCATAAGGGGCATAAGGAACCTGAGGCAGCTACCAAGTCATCCATGCAGCCCTATTCAGGGTTGATCTGCTTGCCTCTCTTGAGGAACGTCTTACAAAAAGTGGGCTAAAAAAGCCATGCCCCAACTCAATCTATCCCTGCCAAAAGTAGTTACTTTGCAGTCCATACATAATATTGGGTAGTGCTGCAAATAGGGTAACAGAAGGGGCTTCTCATGCGTAGACCTGCAGTCATCTGCACATGTATGTGTCTTGACCACCTTCCTTTAATTTTGCAGTGATACTAGCAAACTTATACATCTTTTTATAGGATTTTTATTAATGCTAAGGTACAAGGTCAGTTGACAACCTGGGCTATCACTGTCTCTCGTATTTGAGATTAAGCACCCATCCTGCTGGCTTGGTTCAGACAGATCTGTTTTAAAGTCTCCACTTACACATTTCCCTTTGTACTCAGAGAACATGGCTCTACCATCCCATTATGGTGCCAAGGACCACTGTGTTGAGATGCTGTCCTTCCTCCCATACGAGAAGGAGTGTGAGTGGCTTAGTGCAATTGTGGCCATGAACTAATAAACAGTTTCTCTCAGAAGAGTTTGCTGGTGCCCATGCAGCACCCCACTCAGCTGGCTACACTGTTTCCTGCTAAGGAACTAGTGTGTGTGACACAGGCATAGATAGCATGTCTCAGTCTAGTGCTCCTCAGTCCTGTAGTGCAGTGCTTAGACATGCCTACAGGTTACCCAGTACTACCCAAACTAAGAAGGATCCCAGAAAATGGCATAAAAAGGTTGCAAATGGGTAAAATAGCCATCCTTCTCTCACCCTCTCAGATACAGAGATTCCCCATCCCAGAAATCAACCCTTCAAATATGTTCAGGTGGTACATAAGGCTGAAGACAAAAGAATCACAGGAACCTAAATTCTGGACAAAGCCCTTGCATTGTTCCTAGAATAACTAGTTAATTATAAATGATAATTACAAATTATAAATGCTACTTGCACAGGAAATTACTTTTGGCTTAAAATCAGTGGCACTAAATGATATTTAAATAGGGAGGTAGCATGAAGAAGCAAATGGAACAAAGATCAACAGTTTCAGTTCCCATTTATCCACGTGAGTTCTGTTTCATTAGCATTTTAAAAAAAGGAAAATGTTAACTTGTTTAAATATCAAACACTGTGGTAGATTCAAAGTTGCTGTACAGGTAAGCAATTGGGTCACAAAAGCCACTTCCTAATATTAAAAATTGTCCCATGCACTCTAGACCACTTTAGAGGTTTGGGAAACAGGAAATGTGACTGGTGGAAAAACTGAAGTGGGAATGCATATAATATAGATTCAGAGGGCAGTGGGGTTCTCCCTAAAGGAGAACATTTCTGAAAACATTTCTTGCAACAGGCAAGGCTTTGGACGAAAACTTTGAAATTAAAACTGATACTTTGACATCCTGTTTAGGAAAAATATAAGGTCTTTTATTTCAACCTGAAGATAGCAGGAAGTTAACTGCTTTAGTGCAGCTTTTGCTATGTATCAAAAACAAAACTTCAAAGCAGCTTGTTAGAAACACCTGTTTCAATACCTTCATTCTTTGTGTGGAGCTGTTTTCTTTCTCAGGCAGAGTTGCTATATTGTGCCTCAGATCAGCAAAGCACTTATGTATAGCTTAAGTCATCCAGCAAAACAGTTAAGCACACATTCAACATCAAGCATGAAGTTAAGTCCCCATTAACTTCATCAGGACATAATCACATAGTCACTTAATACTAAGTGCTTAGGAGCCTTCATGAGACTTCCTAGGAACAGTCCTTGGTGATGATGTGAGGAGGACTGGGAAAATCACCTTTACCATCAAGGGAATTTTAAAATTATTTAAAAAATAATAACACTCGGTTGGTTCAACAATAACAAGAAAATGCAAAGAAGAGAAGATTTTAAATATTACAATTCCCAGTGATTTCTAAAGGGAAACTTAGTTCTCCTTTGCGCTATCAAATTAACAAGATGTCAATACCCTCTTTGAATTGTAATTATTATTTTTATTGTGTTTTAGACCTTTTAAAATAGCATACTTTTTATAATTAATAAAAATATTTAAAATATTGTTTAAAACATAGATGTCTTCTAAGGTGGCCAGAATGTATGTTCAAACAGTTTATTTCAAGAAAAATGGCAAGTGAATTATCTGCAAAAATTGATTCTACAGGGCTTTTTATGACGATCCGTTGTCTTTACACCAGGCACCATAATAGTGCCATCTGGTGGACTCAGACTCGGACGTCATCCAGATAAAATATTTGTGGAGTTCACTGTGCATGACTTGTACTCTCAATTAGACTACATCATATGAGTGTCTTAGCCAAAATCAGATTCTTTCTGATTATTCTCTGAATATCCTGTTGTTCTAAACTCTGAAAAAGCACACATCAAAAGCTGTTGATTTAATGTGGGGTCTGATTTTCAGAGGGATAGAGCTTCCCCTCTAAATGTAACTGGAGCTTTTGATGCTCAGTTCTTCTAATAGATCCTAGGAGAGAAGGCAATATGGTTTTCACATTTATTTAAATCCCCCATAAGCCATTTGAGATATATTTGTAGCAGAACTGTACATATATACCTGTACTTGGCAAAATTGCTTTGACATATATGCACTATTTATATGTATACTTAACCAAAGAACCACTTAAGTCATTTGGAACATCTCTGTTAATTGAAGTGGGTATTGGAACCAGCCCTTTTTTAATTAATGTAAGTAATGTTTATGGTGACATAATTCAGGGCCTTGGTTTCCTTATATTGCCTCCAAATATAATTGTTGGAATATTAATAGTATTGCAGAATTTAATCCTTGAACCCTTACTTAAATATGTAGGACCTTACTAGGTTTAATGTCATGTTAATTTTATAACTAGGGCAACAGGACTACATAATTGGAATGAGAGTACTAACCTGAGCCAGAACTACTCACTTCAGTTGGGTCACAGGATTGGACCCTTATGTTTCTACAGCTGTGGGTGGTTGTACTCCAAAAGATCAAACACTTCTGTGGGGTAATGCCACTGTTTTCAGTGGGCTTATACAAGGCATGAATTTGACCCATACATTTGACTTTTTAAACAGTGAATTTTACTTTCCACTCTCCCGTCGTAGGTGGTTTTTCAATGACAAGGTTTAACTTTGTAGAGAAGAGCATCAGCCCTGTAGAAAGACTGAGATAATTCAGACATGCACCCAAATTTCAGGATTTTATCCAAACCAAGTCTGAACTCCAGACCTCTGAGGTTTCATAGCAACAAGAATAGAAAAATATTAGAAGATGTGACCTGCCGAGAAGGCAAAAAATAATCATGAGTTTTGCCTGTGTAAATATCAGTTTCTATCTTAGGGCTTGAACTAGCATTCCTTGCAAAGCCCAAATTCCTGTTCACTGAAAGGGGAGCATTGACTGTGTCAGGTATGCATGATTGGCACAGTGAGCAATAACCACATCTGTACATTCTACAAATAAAGGCAGAAGTCAAATCCCTTGGGACCTTCCCCCATTTGTAAATAATTTAGATGCTACAAGTATTCTGTAAACACTGGAGTGCTAAAGTGAAAAGGAATAGATTTGTTTTCCCTCTATAATTGCAACATACCTCTATGTCAAGGGCACTAACTGAGTTGAAAAACTCTATGTAAATTTTCTGTTATTAAACAGTTAGTAAAAAGTGATATCTGTCTACCTTAAATGGTATTACATGTAGAATACAAGACATTTTACAAAAAAAA